AAAAAAAAAAAAAAAAAAAATAACTCATAGCAACCTCAAACTCCTGTGCTCAAGCCATTGACTTGCCTCAGCCTCCCTAGTAGATGGGACTACAGGCGCCTGCCACAATGCCTGGCTTTTTTTTTTTAACTCTACATTGCCCTTGGTAGGGTACCGTGGCATCACAGCTCACAGCAACCTCAAACTCTGGGGCTTAACCAATTTTCTTGCCTCAGCCTCCCAAGTAGCTGGGACTACAAGCGCCCGCCATAGTGCCCGGCTATTCTTTGTTGCAGTTGTCATTGTTGTCTAGCTGGCCTGGGCTGGGTTCGAACCCAACAGCCTCGGTGTATGTGGTTGGCGCCATAACCACTGTGCTATAGGTGCTGAGCCTGCCCAGCTATTTTTTAGAGATGGGGTCTTGTTCTTGCTCAGGCTGGTCTTGAACGCATGACCTTAGGCATTACACCTGCCTCGGCCTCCCAGAGTACTAGGATTATAGGTGTGAACCACTGGGCCTGGCCCTTTTTCCCTGTTTCGCATTTCTTTTCTTCCTGTAGTTAAGCCTCTGACATTTTGAGAAACAACCACCTCTCCAGTCCTTACAGACGAGCAGTGTACTGGGGAAGAGCTTCACTGAACAACCAAGCTATAGATCCTAGGATTACTCAAACTTCCTCTGAGTGTGTAAAGAAACCTTTATCACTCACTGTATACCAGGGTTTCTCACTGAATCTCTTAGAATTTCTCGCAGAAGAACAGATCTTCTGTGTGGGCAACTAATTCAGTACAATGAAACCTCAGCATCTTTACCTTCATTCGTAAGCTTTGTGTATTCTGGCCAATTCTTTCCCTTCACCTCATTTCCTGCCAGTAGATGTCTGGTCACTGTGGTTGCTTCTGCATACCAGGCTGTTTCCTGATGCCATCTCTTTGAACTTTTTGTTTCATCTGCAAGGAATAATTTTTTTCTTCACATGTTCGTGTGAATCTCCTTTTTATCCTTTAAGATGCAATCTCTTTTTGCTCCCCAGGGACAGGGTCAGTTGCATCTTTTTTCTTTTTTTTTTTCCCTTTTTTGAGACAGAGTCTCCTATGTTGCCCTAAGTAGAGTGCTGTGGTGTCACAGCTCACAGCAACTAAATAGATGGGATTATAGGCATCTGCCACAGTGGCCAGCTATTTTTAGAGATGGGGTCTCAGTCTTGCTTAGGCTGGTCTTGAACTCGTGAGCTCAGGCAATTTACTCACCTTGGCCTCCCAGGGTGCTAGAATTACAGGTGTGAGCCACCTCACCTGACCTGAATCTTTCTTTTTTTCTTGAGACAAAGTCTCACTGTGTCACCCTTGGTAGAGTGCTGTGGTTTCCCAGCTCACAGGAACCTCCAACTCTTGGGCTTAAGTGACTCTTTTGCCTTAGCCTCCCACGTAGCACCCTACTCACTGAGCTATGGGTGCCATGTCAAGTAGATGCATTTTCTTTTTTTCTTCTTTCTCTTTTTTTTTTTTGAGGCAGTCTCACTATGCCGCCCTGGGTAGAGTGCTGTAGCGTCACAGCTCACAGCAACCTTTAACTCTTGGGCTTAAGTGGGCGTCACAGCTTACAGCAACCTCCAACTCTTGGTAGCTTAAGCGATTTGCCTCAGCCTCCCAAATAGCTGGGACCACAGGTGCCTGCCACAATGCCTGGCTATTAGATGCATTTTCTTCTTCTTTTTTATTTTCTTTTTTTGAGACAGAGTCTCATTTTGTCACCTTCAGTAGAGTGCTGTGGCGTCACAACTCACAGCAACCTCCAGCTCTTGGGCTTAGGCAATTCTCTTGCCTCATCCTTCCAAGTAGCTGGGACTACAAGCGCCTGCCATAATGTCCAGCTATTTTTTGTTGCAGTTTGGCTGGGGCCGGGTTTGAACCCGCCACCCTTGTTATATGGGGCCAGTGGCCTACTCATTCAGCCATAGGTGCCACCCTATTAGATTCATTTTCTTTTTTTTTTTTTTTGAGACAGTGCCTCAAGCTGTCCCCCTGGGTAGAGTGCCGTGGCATCTCAGCTCACAGCAACCTCCAACTCCTGGGCTTAAG